TCCCAGCATCGTACCATGTATCAATCCATCTCTCTCTCTCTCTCTCTCTCTCTCTCTATATATATATATATATATATATATATATATATCTTTCATTCATCCATTCATCATCCATTCATCATCCATTCATCATCCATTCATCATCCATTCATCATCCATTCATCATCCATTCATCATCCATTCATCATCCATCCATCCATCCATTCATTCATGCGACGTGTTTCACTTTTTCCTCTCCATGTTCCAGACTGACCTCTATCCATACTGTCTAGTATAATGTATCTACATTTTGCTCCGTAATGCTCCGTAATACTCCGTAAATATATTCATATATTATCTGTGTTATATGTATCATCTGTATACATGCACACACCATCCTCCCATCGTATGCCAGCACATTGCCAATCGTGTGCAGACGGTACCCATGCTGCCATCTCCTACATCTCACCTGTAGATATAATCCTTCATCCCTTGTACGGCAACTGAGCAACCAAATGCCAGATTGATGAGATCATCATGGTACTTTAATCAAATCTTTCATCCGCATCATGTATCGGAAAACTCTGATATCCACGTCTCCACGCATCAAGGTCAGACCGTTCATCTGCTCTATGAATGTACTCTACATGAAAGCCATAGGGTTAAAACACATATATAATAATAATAATAATAATAAGAACAGTAAAACATAAAGAGTTGGATTTTTCATAAAAGATACACAAAAGAAGAGAAGAGAAATAAGAAATCCCTCCCCCCTCCCCCCCAACCCCTCAACATATATATTATATATTTACAGATTATATATTCCCGCATTCATCCAGGGTAACATGACCACAACTTTGACAAGATACAAATCTTTCAACTAGACATTGCCATTGATTCTCCATCTTGTCCTCTACCATGTCCTCCTTTTCCACCTTGTGTCTTTTCTTTCTTTTACTTTCCTTCTTTTTCAACAGTATTCATAATCATTTTCAAGAAAAAGAAATAAAACTCGCCTTGTATTCGTAGCATCATCTCCATCCAAGATACTGTCCTTTTGTCATCTCCATCTCGTTTCCTTATCAAGTGCAGGGAGCTCATCATCCACTATAGACACCCGACTGTCCTCCCTTTCTTGTTTTTGTTTTTATTATTTATTCATTTACGTATCTTGTTTTGTTTCTTCTTCACCTTCTTCTTCTTCTCCTCCTCTTTCTTTCCAAAGACCTGATAGAGAAGAAGAAGAAAAAAAAAAGTCATAACCCCATACATTAGAGTCATTAGAATGCTTTCCATCTCCTTTTCCCCTCGTTATAGTCCAACAACAAGATGAGACAGCTCACTTTAGTGTAGCAACGACTTTCCATTCTCAACTTCCTTCTCTTCTTCTCCTTCTCCTTTTTTATTTATTTTGCCAACAACCTCCTCGACCGCTCACGCCTCAGCTCCGAGCCCCTCCAACTCCTTGACGACGGCGGCCTTGGTATTCATCTTCTTGACCTGCGTATCCTCCAGCTTCTCCCCGCCGGCCAGACGCATCTCGAGGTCCTCGATGGCTCGAATCTTCTTCTGCAGGCTTCTAATCTTCTTGGCATTCGGGTCCTGGGAAGACACAGTGTTGACACCGTCATCAGCGGCGGCGGCGGCCTGCTGCTGCTGCTGCTGCTGGCTGCTGCTCCTCTGGTTGTTCCCGCGCTGATTGTTGCTGCTGCTGCTGCTGCTGTTGTTGTTGTTGTTGTTGTTGTTGTTGTTGTTGTTGTTGTTGTTGCGGGAACGACGTTCGGGGCTGCCATTGTTGGAGCTGTGGTGGTGGTGGTTCTCCGGAGGTGCGAGGCTGGCTCCACCGTTGGGTTCGGGCTGACCGTTACCCTCACCCTGTCCGCCCTTCTTGCCACGCTTCTTCTTATTCTTCTTGTTGTTGTTGTTGCTGGAGCCGTCATCGCGGGCCGGGTCCGCGCCGGGAACGGTCCGACCGGCCGACGAGTCGACGGGCTCGGCGCCGGGGACGCCACGACGGGCGCGTCCTCCGAAGCCGTTAGGTCCGATGTTCTGCGTGCCGTTGCTGACCACGTGGGCCGCACCTCCCTCGTCCTCGCGCTTGAAGTGAAGGGGGGTGGCCAGGCCGCGGGCGCCGGGCGGACGGTAGGCGCCCACCGGCTTGCTCGGCGTCTTTACCGTGCCCAGGTAGGCCGTCCCCGAGGCGTGCGGGGTCGGGACGGGGGTGAGAGGGTCCCCCCCCGCGCTGGCGAGGGCCTCCGGGCTCATGGGTCTCCAGAGGACGTGGTACAGCTCGACCATGTCCTCGTTGTACATGACGCTGCCGGCGACGTGCCACAGCCTGACGCCGTTGTCGACTCGGAGCCGCGGCGACGTCGTGGCCGTCATGATGTACCTGCTGTCCGGACTCCACTCGCACACGCTGGGGTTGCCGCCCTCGATGGTGCAGATCTTGCGGTAGTCCTTCTGCATGTCGTAGACGTCGATCTGGCCTGCCAGGTTGCCGAACCCCGCCACCAGCACGAACCGGCCGTTGGGCGAGAACATGATGGTGTTGCGCGGTCCCAGCGGGAACGAGTGCTGCGCCACGGCCCGGTGATTGAAGATGGTGGCCTTGGCCGGCATGTAGCCGTACACGACGCCGAACTCGCGCGAGTTGGGCGACCACGACACGTCGTGGATCGGCCCCTCCTTGTCCAGAGCCACGCGGGCGTCAAACGCCCCGCTCGTGCTGAGCAGGTACAGCGTCGTCTCGCCGTAGTAGCTCTTTCCCGACCGGTCGACGTCGGTCTGGGCCAGCACCAGGATGCTGGAGCCCTGCTTGTTCCACTTGAGCTGGACCTTGTCGCCTTTGAAGAAGGTCTTTTGCGAGATCGGGCTGTTGAAGAGCGGGACGTTGAAGACTTTGACGGCGGCGGGTTGGCCCTTGTCGGACGTCAGCACGGCTGCCGACCAGCTGACAGGAGTACGGACGATGCGGAGAGGGAAGGAGGGATATGACGTACCTTGCGCTCCGGGATGAAGACGGCCACCGCATGGTTCTGAGTCCCCGGAGCAAGGGCATAGCTGGTCGCCCCCTCGACGCGGAGCTTATTCCAGACGGTGACCAGGTCGTGGCTTTGGTGGAATTGGACCTCGTTGGTGACGAGGCGGGCGCAGTACTTCTCGTCGGCCGTGTACTGCAGGTTCCAGTTGCCCTGCTGCTTCTGGACGAAGCTGCCGACGGGCCTCTTCTCGGCGGCGTCGACGCCGTCCTCGACGATGGGCCAGACCCTCAGGTTCTTGGTGGCATCGCCGTTCTCGTCCTTTGCCGGCCTCTCCCAGGTGATGATGTAGGTCCCGCGGGGGGAGAAGCCGATCTCGTAGACGTTGGGGATCGGTAAGCGCAGCACCTCGGCACCCGAGCTGGCGTCGACGATGATGACGGCCTCGGGCGACGCCCAGGCGAAGAACCGGCCGCAGGGGGAGTAGTCGCAGCACCGGAAGTTGCCCTCCGGCTTCTGGAACCCAGCGAGAGGCTGGTAGGCCGGGGCGGCATCAAAGATGCCAATGGCCTTCTGGGTTCGGTAGGCAAACTGGAGAGGAGACGCCATGGCTAGTCAAAGGCACAGTGTCTCTTCTTCTTCTTCTTCTTCTTCTGCTTCTTCTTCTTTGTGGCTGTTCGTCTCGTCTGTTCTTGCCAGCGAGAATTGCAGCAGTGGCTGTGCTTTTCTTCTTCTTCTCTTCTTTCCTCTTTTCCTGTTGAGAATCGTACGACAGGGCGGTGAGGATGATGGACAGGAAAACACAGACACAGTTATCGCTGCTGCTGTTGCTGCTGCTGCTGCTGCTGGCGAGAAGGAATTGATGATGTGGCGTCCGGAGAAAAACTCCACACACACACGCAAGAGATCGGGTGGAAGTTTTTTCTTCTTTTCTCTCTCTCTCTTTTTTTTTTCGGGTGGCGTGCGTGGGTCGGGCAGTCGCGCAGCTGTGTCGGTGTTGATTCTGAACAACCGAGTTCTTTCGACCGGGACACAGGAGAGAAGAGAAGGGGGAGTCGGGGAGTCTCAGAGTAGGGAAACACACGGAGTAAAGAAAAGACAAGATCAACAAGAAAACCCCGAGAGGAGAAGAGAAGAGGAGAGGAGAGGAGAGAGAGAGAGAGAGAGAGGGCGGTGGGCCTGTCGCGGTGCGATGCGATGCACTGGCAAAAGAGACGACGACGAAGGGAAAAAATGAAAAGAGAAGAGAAGAAAAGGAAGGGACAACTTGAGTCTATAATAGTGATTATGATTACTACGCTTATTATCTCACAATTTTCATTAATTTTTCTTGTCTCCCCTCTTAAAGCTCCCTTTTTTTATAGGTCTTTACTACTCAAGGGTTTTTTTTCTTCATTGTATTTTCCCTTATTGTCCTGATTTTTTTTCTGCCCACTTACGTTTAGCGGGTGGTTCCTTCCCTTTTCAATCGCCCACAGGCACCGCCGCACCTGCCTACCCCTCCTAAACCCTCCCCTCCCTCCCTCCCGGAAGCCCCAATCAGGTCCCTGCCACCGGCTCCACACAGAGTCACTGTATCGTAGATTCAAGTAAAATAATACTGGGCCTGGAATCAGGGTCAGGGAAGTCGCGGGCCGAGAGTTCCTTCTTCTTTTCATCATGATTACCATTATCTTGAATCTCTCATTTTCGTTCCCTACACGTATAATTGTACTTTCCATGTCCACTACTAGTCTAGTGCTATGACTGACCTTACGAGTGTGAATGGTACTGCCAGCCCTTACTTATACGTCCTTACCGTCGAACCGTGCAATCATCGGGATGCAGATTGTCATATCATATTTATGCAGTCGTATAATGGTACCTAGATCATCCAAGTAGTTCCGTGTCCCAGGCCGGTGTATGCCGTGTATGCCGTGGCCCCTTCATTTCAGCAGATATCATCGTAATTACGTGCAGTCTCTGTTCAGAGAGCCACTGCCGATATGTTCTTTGTATCCTTTTTTTTTTTCTGGAGAGCCGTTGCATGTCCCATCCTCACCTCCCCTTGTACTTGTCCTTCCAACCCCCCTTCTCGAACAACCACAGCGCCTCGGTAGCGAAAGCCTGACTGCCCCTGTGCCCGCCCTCCGTGGCCGCCGCCTGGGCGAGCGTGTCCACGACGCGTCCCTGCTTGACGGCATCCCAGACGCCCATGGCGATGGGGTCGTCCTCCGTCGTTCCCCACTCCCCCTTCCCCAGACGGAACAGCACCCTGCCCAGCGTCTGGAAGGCCATGCACCGCTGCGCCGGCACGGCGCTCCTCGCCAGCATGGCCAGCTCGGCAACGGTGTAGCCGGCCGCCTCGGGGGCCTCGCCGTGGTGGTGCAGGCCCATGGACACGGGGAGGGCCCTGCTCAGGCGCGGGGACAGGAAGCGGCCGCGGAAGTCGAAGCGCAGGGCCGACACAGCAATCTCGGCGTGCGGGTAGTAGGGCGACTCGCGATCCGCCACGCTGTCCTCGGTCGGTACCGGGGCCATCCACGCCATCTTGCTCGGGTCGGCCGGCAGGTCGGCAAAGTACTTTTCGTGCAGCGTCTGGAGGAAGTCGGGGTCTGAGGGGTCGAGGTCCGGATGCTGCGGGGGCGCGGGGAAGTGCGTCGACGTCGGCAGGTCCGTGACGGGGAAGAGGTCGGGGGGCATCTGCCTGGGCTCGGCGTCTTCGTCAAACTTGCCGTCGTCGCCGCCGTCGTCGCGGCGCTTCTCGGCATCTGCCTTGCTGCTGTTGCTGCTCTTGTTGGCAGCACCGTCATTCCCCGACTCTGTGTCCTCGACGAAGCGAACCGTGGAAGGTCGCGGCACCGACGCCTCCTCTTCCGGTGCCGGTGGGCCTTCCGGCAACGACGCCGCGTTCTCGTCAATGTTGGCCCGTCGGAGGAGCCGCTGTAACAGGTCGGGGTTCAGCCCATTCAGAATCTCCCTCTGGGCCTCTGCGATCTCGGCTGCCGACATTTCGTCCATCCTCTGCCTGTTTTCCTGGTCGATGCGTCTCCTCTCGTTCTCGTCGAAGCCGAGTTTCTGCTCGTCTCCGGAGGGAGGCTTTGGGGGAGTGCTGGAGGCTGGTGCAGCATCGCCCTCTGTTGTCGCCGTCGTCGTCGTCGTCGTCGTCGTCGTCGTCGTCGTCGCCGTCCGCCCATCTGCCCGCCGTTGCTTGAATGCGGAAGCGCCCTTCCATCGCCGCTTATGCTGCGGGAACCCCGTCGTCGGGTCGCCAAAGTCGTCGGAAAAGTCGGTCGTCGGGGGCTTCTTCTTTATTGACGAGTCGTGCTCGACAATGTCACCTACGAGAATTGTCGGATCCATGTATGGCGGTCTGTCCGAGGGCCGGTCCGTTCTGTTCCGGGCTGTTTGATGGAGAGAGGGGTGGGTGAGCACATCAGGAGGCTCAAGTTGACGTTGGTTTTGTCTTGGGATCAGAGCAATTGTTTTGGTTGGTGGGTGAGATGAAGCAATAAATATTAAAATGGGTCCGGGACGCACCCTTGGCCTTGTCACCTTTCTCCGTATGCATAAGGCGGGAGACTAGTTGGTTGGTCCGACCGGGTCACGAGGCTGCATCTCAGCCGCACGTCGGTGATGCCATGTGGGACATGGCCGGCTCTATCTCTTATCACTAGTACACGTAACATTTGCGTATAATGTGAATGAGCACATGCAATGTTCTCGTACCGTTGCTCATGCTCGTAAACATCTGACTATGAGCCTTGTGCTCACCGGGACGGTTATACGAATATCGGCCCGAGGGAGTTATTTCGTCCAATTGACTGACGAGGAGGATGACTAATTCGACGTGCATCGGGTAAGATGCAAAGTGCGAACGTCGCACTGATGTGTCATCATCTTGTTCTGTACTCACAGCACATTCCTTTTTACACTGTAGAGGCCCATGTACACCTGACAGACACCTGGCAGGCACCTGGCAGGCACCTGGCATATGGATGCATTTTTCTAAGACAACTAGCGTGTGATATTAATACCCGTAGTAAGATTATGCACAACTCATAGAGTTTTTGGACAAGCCAAAAAAAAAAAAAAAGGGCTACTCGCATTGAGACCTTGGATGAGCGCCCCAATACAATACTTTTCCTCTCCGAGAGCAGCTATTGCTCAACATGATATTTTTCTTCTCTCCTTCTCCGTGCAATGTCCTTACATATGACGTGCCAGTCAGATGTAGAAATCGCGCCTATCTGACATGCAACCGGCGGATCCGCGGCTCCGGGACCAATAGGATCGGCACATGTGTGTGTGGGTCCCCTTACCGGCAGGTGGTGCGGAGTTGGAGGAACTGGGGGGCCAAGGGCCATAGCTAACAAGGGGTCCGGGTGTTTTGCAGGCTGCATGATAGGGTGGTGTTATTACTAATTACGCTGTACGGGGTATACGATTATGGTACTAGCATGCACGCACATGTAGCAGCAGTACTAGTAGCCTCAGCAGCTAGGAGCCGTACATGTATCCGTAAATCACCTGTACGGGTATTCACCACGTACCGGGTACATTAGAGAGTCGTGGATACCTTGGTACCGTCTAGCGGTATCAGTAGCAAAGTACTCCGTACTGTACCTGGTAATAGTCTAAACCACGACCTACTTTCGAGTACTGCACTTGTACATGCAGTACCTTGGAGTCTAGACATGGGAGCGCCCCACATCTTGCCTTCTGCTGGCACCCGCACCACGAAGCAATCCCCGGCGGTGTTTAAATCGGCGTCTATCAATAACAGAAGCATCTGAATAAGTTCAATGTTACCAACCCTTTTTGTCCCTCTTCCCTTTATTTCTGTGTGTGGCCACCTGCCGGGTTAGCAGAAGTATCCGTAAGGGTACTCTCGTAACTCTGACTCTGTAAGAAGGGAGCCCGTCACTCTCACTCCACTTACTCTTAGTAGTTTTTCCCCTTGCCCCC